ACTAGTTCTATACATAACTCCGCAGTTTGTTGAAAATAGACTTATTCTTCATAACATGATATGAAGGAGGCATTTTGTTTCCTTAATCAGTTATTTCCTTGTGAATTTATTTTCTAAGGTATTGCAACGATACTCTCGGATCATTTTCACCAGCTCTTTCCTGATATGTGTTATAATATTTGTAATTTTCTTTGCTCATAAAGCGGCAAACTTGTTATTTTACCTAAGAAGATATGTAATTAAAACGACCAATCATCGTAAATGTCAGCACAAACACTGTCTGGATCATATCACCCCTCGTAAAAGCCTTTCTCAACATTACTACGTTTTATCGTCCCCTTCCGTGCAGCATACCGGCGGGAGTCAATTCCTTATCCATATTTTGTTCGCTTTATGCTTTAGGTAAACTTAAGGTCTTCTTTTATCTATGAATAGATTTCAATGTGAAAATGGCTGTCACTGCGTACGCTTCAAAGTAAACGGCCAGGTACTGATGCCCTGAGATGTCATGGAAATGAAAAGTTACCGGCAAAAATGCATCCCTTTGTGACATGTTCTTTAATAGAACCACATGTAAATTAATATTGCTGGGTTTGAAAATAAGATTTTAAATTGAAATAAAGGAAAAAACTTGACGTATTCAAAATTTAGGGAGACAAAAGATTCGTCATAATCGAATGGCTCTAAATTTATCTGGAAAGATCTTAGCTTTAAATGAAGATAATTTAATATTATTTTATCTTCGACAGAAAGTTAATACTAACTTTAGATTGCGTATTTAAATCTGCCACATGTTCCTGTTTTCTCCTAAGACCACCAAGAGAAGTACGCCAGTGTTTTATTTTAGCTTTTTTAAACAAAATAACTGAGAAACCATTATTTTTTTCGGGAAAATGCCACTCAGCTTTCTTTGCTATATAAATTCTCGTACGCACACATATAGCTACTTCCTAAAACTTCAGTAGCTTCACATTTGTCGCTTTTCCTTCAAGGTTCAGCCAGTTGTCGCTCGTTTTTAGTAAAGACTTAATAAAAGCTTTTGCATCTTCATTCAGGACTTCCGCTCAACCACCCGTGACATTCAATTTTAGTTCCACCTTCAAGTAACACAAAAGCACATCCAAAAAACGTCTCTTCAGCTCGGGATCCGTCGCAACTTTGGCGTTTAAAGCAACAAAATTCTGTACCTTACACTCTTCGATCAGATATTTCATGTAGGTGAACATCTCCTGCCTTTGCTCCTTTGTTAACATCCATCAAATATTGATCCAGTGGTATCGGGGTAGACTTTCCCCTCCACGCGGCTAGAGATCCCCAACAAGACCTCCGACGACAAGACCAACAGGCCCTCCGCATACTCCACCAACTGTGGCCCCTATCCCCGTCATCAGCCCTCCTTTGACTCTACTACTGCTGTTTGTTACTTTATACTTATGTTCGCTTGTTATTATGGCCAAAAGACTCACCAAGTCCTCTTGTGAGACGGGCATGGTGATTTTTCTAAAAACATCCAAGTAGTCCGTTGAAGTATTAAACTTTTGTTCTGGCTGTAGTTTGACAGTCTCTAGTTGTTGCTTCTCACGTCATTGAATGACGGATAATCGTGATGCGTTTTCACTAACTGATTGGAAAGCACTTACAAGTGACACGTGACAGCAGGTTTTGTGTACGGCGGTTTGTCCAACATGCTTTGCCTCGTACCCAGAGTCTTCTAGCTTTTTGACACAGGTGTACCAATATATTTTGGAGTCACAGCTAACTTAAAATATTCTGACCTCTCTGATTTATGTTGGAGTTTTTAGAGTTTATCTAAGACGTTGTTTCTAAACCTTTCTCAGCTTTTATAGTATCTATCACTTGGTGCCCAGGTGTAAGCACCTGAAAAATTGTGCTTGATTCATTGAGAAAACATTTGTTTCATCATTACGAACGGTATTTTTATTGTCCTATACTTTCAAGGCAGTAGTTCGTGATCAATAAGCAGGAAAATTTCTTTTTTGTATTTATAAAGACTGATTTTCGTATTGGGACTGAAATTTTCAAGTTTGTTTACTATTCTCAATTTAAGCATGAAATATTATAACGAGTAGAGATTACCAGGAACTTACCAACACAGTCAGAGCGAATCTCGGCTCGCTTATTATCAAATTGTGTACAGACGCGTCGCCCCCATACCCCCCTCCCCCTCCACCCCTCCACACTCAGCTTTACCGGCAGCCATAAAATAATAGCCTAGATTAATAATAATAATAATAATAATAATAATAATAATAATAATAAACAAAAATCTTTATTATTATGTGACCAATTTACATTCCACTAAAGTAAACTAAAATTTTGATGAAATAAACATATTAAAGAGATCCGAAAATACTAATTTACAAGCTAACGCCATTATCACTTTCTAAAATTAGCGGACACACGCTTGGCTAGCGTTTAAGCGGTACTTGTCAATGAAATCCCCTTGTGCAATTTTGCGGAAAGCGATGGACTAAGTTTTGGAGTACAAGCACCATAAGCATTTCTTTTATCTTGCAGAAAGAAGACTAACGAGAAGTTAATGAGAACCTGCATGAGAAGAAAGAGGGGAACATCAATGCTGATGCCGCCAGTGGAATTGCACTAAACCCTTCTGTGAAGCTATGATGAGAGACTTATTGCAATCTTGCCATCAATCTTTGAGGGATGTACAGGCAGGCTAAACTTGCATTTCAAGAGTCAGTTGTGTTCCTCACAGAAGTGTTAACACTAATGTTGCTGCAGCAAGACTTTAAAATCTTATTTTGGGGGATAAATCAATACATTACTTACATTTAATTTATCTTTGTCACCCTGTTTCATCTTGGTGACTCTTAGAATACGTTTGGGCTTCCTGTGTTTATAGTGCAACAGTGATTTAACCATTTTCTGTTGCAATTGTTCAGCCTGTAGGATTGTTTACTGCAACATTGATGGAAATGTACGAGTATGACAAAAAATGTGAGACATTTCAAATGAACTGAAGTTTTCTTTTTAAGTTGCTAAATGAAAAGTTTCTTGTACAAAAAATGTACCTAGTCATGTTTTGCTATGAGCGTTGGTTGACTGGGGTTTTCCTGTTTGTACGCTGCCACCGTCATTTTCTTGGGCGATCTACCACAGTTACCAAGAAGTATGTAAATGACTAGTCCCAGTAATTGACCACTCCAGAAGATACAATAACATACCATAATACTTTTTGTTTGTCACCCCATAATTTTGCATAAGCTTTGTCTTCAGTTTCTCTTGGGAGTTAAAATGGCCCCAAGAGAAACTAAAACAATCCTTATGCAATATTTTGGGCTGACAAACAAAGAACATTATGGTGTGTTATAGTGTTTTCTGGAGTGGTCAATTGCCAAAATGGCTTTCAGTGAGGCTTCAGTGAAACTTATGTTAAGGCGATTTCTCGAACATTGACGCCAACTCCGAAAGGAAAAAACCGTCCCCCCATTTTAAAGAAAAAACCACTTACACAAACCACTGTGCATCTGTGCCGAGGGAAATCCAATCTTTATTGCTTGTGTGAATAATACTGTACATTATTGCTGCTAAATTCCAACCAATTGGTACAGGTGTAACGAAATTAACCAATCATATTGATGTTTGACTTCATGAAAAAAAAAGTCTTGAAAAAAAAACGTGTAGATTTAAAGATTTCAAATTGATTTAAACTTAACCAGTTGGATCAGAAATTTAAACAAACACTACACTTCATTAAACATTCACGTAGAAAATACAATTCATAGATAGGTAACTATTTTGGCACTGTCTGTCTGTCCATCGGTTTATTACTTGAAAACTAGGATTTATACACCGCACACATCACAAAGTCTCATGGCGGCTAACAGTTCTTTCTCTAAGATGATTTCGGACGTCCGCTTGTTTTGGGGAAATAAATCAATACATTACTTACTTTTTGTGTGTCCATGGGCATTCTTAAACTCTCACAATAGGATATAGGAATAGCTACTTTGTTTCCACTGAGAATTCCTTGAACGGTAAGAATTAACGATGGCACCGAAAAAAAAATTATATTTTGTCGAATAGTCGAGTGTAATCACCTTTCCATCGCAAAAAAACGCCTTTTTGAATAAAGGCTGTAAAGCTAATCGTTGTTCACTTAACAACTTATAATTAGAGTGTCTGGTATCTAATTTCTTTTCACAATATCACCGTTTAATCAAACATATCCTTCATGACAATTATAAACGGTCAAGTGAAATGAATTTTTTTATTTGGGAACAGATTCTCCTTATTGGTACCGAAACAAAATTAATCCATAGAAACACGGCTGAGAGAATATGCATTTTGACTTTAAGAGGACATAGACAGCACTCTCGTTATGGTAGGCTCTATACTGTTGCTTGCAAATCGTTGCTTGCTAGACCAAGAGAGGGGACTCTTCGTTTTCCTGTTTCCTAAATAGCCTGCTGTAGCAAAGTTTCGCTAAGTGACGGATTGTTTGATAAAGCACAACAAGAAGGCGACCACCCTGCGACAAAATAGCAGCAACTACAAAAAGGCAGGCAACCGCTGGTACAAAACCGAGAATTATGATTTCTACTACTTGAAAGGCACTCGTCCAAGAGGTCAAGGGATTCGAGCCCTGCAGAGGGACACCAAGCGAGTGGAAAGATGCGAAAAACGTGTTAATTAAACCCAACTGCACAACACACAGCAAAGAAATGGTTTCCACTGTGTTAGCAACATCATCACGAAACGGCTGAGCGATGCAATGGTGCAGAAGAAACAGTACACAAAACGAAGTCATGACGAGAAGACGGGACAGAGGATCATTGATAAAAGCATTTAACACAATAAGAATCAGCCGCCAGCCGATCATAACCCCTTCCCAGCTCAAGGAAAGCTTGCTTCCCTCTTCTGGCCTCTTGAAAGGGTCGTAAAGAACCCTTTCCACGGAAATCTCGGTTGACGCCTGGCCTGCTGGCTGTTCTCCGACCCTGACTATTGGTCGCGCTCTATAAATAAGGGCGATGTATGCCCAGTAAAGCAAAATCGGTAGAGGTAAACAACAAGCAAGGAGGAAATTTGCCACGGAAACGGTTCCTCTGTACAGCTTGAAAGAGCCCCACATCAAGACAAACAAAAATTAACAATCGTTTCTCTGAGCGAATGGGAACACAGGTTAGCAGGTCAAAGCTCATGGACGCCAAAGTTGCGTAACCTAGCAGTATGGTTTGTAAAATACCGCCGATATAGGGACCAACAGGCGGTGCTTCTCGGCCTTGAATCTTTTTACTACCCCAATGCAACATGTAGAAGACACCTATCATAAGCATTGTCCCAAAGACAGGAGAAGCCAAAAGTAACCGTTTAGTTACCGCATTGAGTCCAGGAAAGGGACAGATCACTCCTGTAGTTGACACTGGTGAGACATTGTGCTGAAAGTTAAACAATCCGATGATAGGCTCCCAAACTTCAGTTTTGAGAATGTGCAGGGTTGTATCGGAGACGAGTAAAAGGTTTGCTGCCTGATAAAAGTAGAAAGCGATCTTTAAATAACCACGGTCAAAATCTTCATCCTGGTTGGCTGGTTCATATTTTTTAAACCACAGGATCTGGCGCTTGATCCAGGGCACTATAGGAGGCTTAAATGTAAAGAGCAATGCCATAATTGATACATAAACCAATTCCACGGGCCAAATCCAGTGATCCCTACACTCGTTTGATGGTGCGCAGCTTGTGGAGTAAAGTGTCTCCGTGTGAGACTCTTTACAGTGTCCGCACAGGATACCAGAACGGTTACCCTGGCAACTGTCGTATTTGGGAAAGTCTGCTTTCTGGGGAGAGCTGCAATAACCATGGGGGCACGTGATGAAATTCAGCGTCGATGGATTGTATTTTTCTCTAAAACCCCAAAAGTTAGGTTCAGCTAGTATATTTTGGGTGCAATTTGCTCCATATGGGCAAGAAAGACAGGGAAATTCTGGTCCTTCGTGAAGGCCAAAGGCGCGGCCGCGATTCAGACTGTAGGTATTCCCTTCGCATGCTAAACATTGAACCTCAAGTATGGTGACAGAACTTTGACCTTCGAGTTTAATTTGAAAATAAAGTACATTTATTTGACTTCCTACAGGACAAGTCAACGTTGTCAGATTGTCGAGACTGACTTCTCTGCCATTTGTTTTTCTTATCAGAACATCGTGATTTGCAGGATAGTTGGCGGTCAGGGAAGTATTAGATATACTCAGCGATCCTTTGCTCTGTGTGTCAATAAAAAAAGCCCCTGCAGAGTAATTTTCATTTCCTAGTTGAAATAAAGTTTGGTTGAAAACACAATCCCAAATGAATAGGTTTGTTGATTGGACGTCCGTGTGTATATGCCCGCCTAAAACCTGTACTAAATTGTTGAGAAAAGTGCAATTCTGAAATGTTGCATTTCCGTTGCTCAAATGCACGGCGCCACCAAAAACCGCAGCGTTTTTTTCAAATGTCGTGTCTTCAAACAACAAGGGACTTGCCCCTCCACTGTTTTCTTGATTTACGAAAATAGCTGCGGCTCCTCCATAGTATTTGGACGCGTGGTTTTCCACAAACCGAGATCTCTTAACTTCTACTGTTGTCATGCCATCAGCCCGCATATAAAACGCACCTCCGACTTGTTTAGCAGAACAATTGAAAAACGTTGAGTTATTTATGACAATGGCTGGAACAAACTTGCTTTTTGTTCCTCCTACGTTGACGGCGACGGCTCCTCCATAGAAGTGCACTGTATTAGATTCCATGGTTAAGTTTAAAAGTGTTAGAACACTTTGAGCGTTAGCTCGAAGGTAAACAGCACCACCGCTATGGTTTGCTTTGTTATTTGAAAACGTTGAGTGTTCTATGGTAAGGTTGGACGTTCCATTGCAAGGTTTCACGTTTTTTATGCTTATTGCTCCTCCAACGGTGACGTCAGAACCAAGTGCGGTATTATTATAGAAGAAAGACTTGTGAACCTTCAGCGAGAGAATAGTGTCGACGTAAACAGCTCCGCCGGAATAACTGGCGCTATTCGCTTCCATGGTCACATTTCCAAGGATTAGAACAATAGGTTTTTCCCCAGATATCGAAATGGCACCGCCTATGCTGCGCGCATAGTTTTTCGAAAATACTGAGAGTAATACCGTGATGTTGCAGAGATTTGATAATTCCTTGCTGCCAAATGTTTCGCCTTTACCATCTCCAGCGTCACTGACGTATATAGCTCCTCCGAAATTCTCTGCCTTGTTTGATTCCATTGTCACGTTTTGAAGGATGATAGTTGCTGGGCTGTTTGCAAAAACGGAGATTGCACCGCCATTGGAGGATGCGCCGTTATTTGAAAACGTAGAGCGTTCTATTGTGATATAGCAGCCATCTGGTTCTGTCACACTCAGAGCTTCGCCAAATGTGCGGTTGGTTGGATTTTTATTATCATGAAAGACCGACCCTGAGGAGCCAATAAACACGGCTCCGCCTTCTCCTGCCTTAGCTGTGTTTCCGGTGAAAATGCTATCTCGAAAGCTGATATTGCAAGCGTTGATGGAGTCAACAGCGATAGCACCACCCTGAGTCGCGCTCGTGTTAACGAAGGTTGAATTGGATACGCCTACATGGAACATGGCCCTTTGTTCAGGATGGTCTTCTCCACTTAGATATACGACTCCGCCATTTCCATATGCCGGCCCAACTTCGTATCCAACAAAACTGGAGTTATGGATGAACAGTGAAATGTTCGATCCACTGATAGCGAATAACCTTGTTTGTTGACCTTGAAAATGGCTGGAATCGATGAAAATTGTTACAGCAGCCCGTGTGCTTTGAACAATGCATTCAGTAGGTGGTTCATTTTGGTATCCCGATGCAGAGTTGTCAATAAATGTCACATCCTTAAAGTGGATGATGTGGTTGCCATTTTTCATGTTCAGGGATATAAGACCTTTGGAACTGAACTGGTTATGAATAAGTGTAACATTTTCCAAAGTTAAATCAAAGCTTATATCATGATTGGTGTGAGCCAAGTCAACAGAGATGCCGGCCATGTTTTCAGAGAAGATCGTATCTTTGATATGAAGGCTCGAATCTATCATTTTATGTATTGTAAACTTCACACCTTCTTGTATGTCATTAAATTTACAATTTTGGATGTAAGCGGAAGACTCCAGGAAAGTCAAAAAACTTCCGCCGAAGATAATACCTGATATGTTTGCTCTGATCTCGTGTAGGGCATCAACAGAGCCGTTGAATGCCAAAAATGATCCACCAGAACATCGTATCCGAGGCAATGGATCGCCAAATCCAATCAGAGACAGACTCTTATTTATGTAAATACCTGAATCACACGTGTATGGATTTTTACTGGTGTTTGTGCCGTCTAAGTAAATTAGATCATCATATGTTGCCAAAGTAACAGCCCATCGAATAGTGTTACAGGGATTCTTCTGATCACATGACCCGTTGTCCTCGCCCGTTCGTGAAAGGTACAAGTTCCTTCCCTCGGTGACATATCCTGCAAAAGCAGAGAATACATATGAACGAGAGAATATGAGAAACCTCGTTCCCAGGGCTTTTCTCTGCCGAGAGTAGGGCACGCGGGAAAAGACCCTAGCATCGCCTGGTCACGTGTTCCTTCGACACCCGAAAATCTTGGGTCGACATTACATTCCATCCACCGGGACCATCTTGTTCGAGAAAGACTGGAGTCGATTTTTAACTCGTAACAGAAGATTTTCGGGGTTAGTAGTCCATTATACATTGAACACTAACCGACAAAGGTTGGGTTTTGAGATTAAATAACGTTTTAGGCCTAAGTAGACCTAACAGTAGCTTTTCCGAATACAAGCAGGACATTGCAAAGACTTGCCAAAAGACCGGTGTTCGACATTTGCAGACTGCCTACAAGTAGCGCTGAGAGAACAGTATTTACGTCTCAGCACCCATTTTAACACGGTTACTTTTCAATAACGGTGACAACCTCGGTCTCTCTCGAACAGGGAGGTCCTGGTGTTGACCAAGTTCTTGGGTGTCATAAGTTTTATATGAAATTCAAGATTCGAATAATTGTCGGCTTGGATAGGCTATTAACCTCGGTAAATTTCCTCCGTTTTGTTTGAAGCCTCTTCAGTTTAAGTGCTTCGAATATATGCTTTAAGGTATTGATGTTGTCACCGATGTTGATGCCAGTTTTGCCCAGAATACGAAGCATATGGGGACCTTTGTACGCACCACTACAAAGACGGCACACTGAATTTCTTATATACATGTTTTTGGGAGTAGACTGCGCCATCGAAAATATTAGCAGGCCCTTTCGAATAACAGAAAAATTGGAATATCCGTACAACATCCAAATGGTCATGATAATGTATGTTGCCCTGAATTCCAACAGCCAACAAGGATCAAGCGGATCAGATAAATTAGTACCCTTCCAAATATTCATTGATAACACGTAACCAGCTGTCAGCCGATGCCAGGGTCTTTTCCAGCCCGCCCTACTCTCGGCAGAGAAAAGCCCTGGGAACGAGGTTGAGAATATGAGGTAAGGGAGCGATTCCCTTCTCCCCTTGACAATTAATTGAAATTTATTTTTAGATTGCGTCCATGCTGCGAAGGTCATTTTGTTCCCATGGCCACGTGGTCAACTCTTACACCAAGCGACCTGTGAGGTGTCGTCCTTGAAATAACTTCGAAGTATGCTAACAAAAAATTGAATTTAAGTAATTCTCATCGGGACAGGGCCAAAGTTGGGGGATTTTCCCCTATTCTCTTGATGTGAAATATCACACATTTTAACTGCGGAGGTCAGAAATATCAACACAGAGAAATGAGTAAGTGGTACAGTTGCGAAAGATGCCTGAAAAAGCCGGGTCCAATGCTAGCCTGCGACCAAGCTCTTTCGAGGAGGTCTCGACCCTACAGACGCAAGGATCGAGTTTCGAAGAGCGACATCAACACCCTTAAGAGTTATAGGGATAGTCCAGCAATTCGAAAGTCGAAACAGATGTTGGGTGTCTCGCACCCTGCCAGCAGATCCTTTCTTAACTGGACGAGGAGGAAAGGACTCTACAGAAATCACGTAAAGTCTTTATTGAGTATGCGCAAGCCGTTGCTTGGAGACGTTTCAAAGCCAGGCCAACTCTCGCTCGCACTCCTCGACGCCATATTGATTTTCGTACTGAAGGCTCGATTTTGACCTTCGCCTTGTCAAAAATATGATCCGTGCGCTGCCTTTACCGGTTTGACCGAGGTGACTATATCCCAGAAACTTGGGCTACGGCGACTTACAGTGCGACGCGCCTTACCGTGGCCATCAAACAAAGTTCTTTACAAATTATCCGCCAATGAGGGTGTGCGAATTTCATTGTCAGTCACGCCTCCTTGCAAAGTTCGTACGGTTGTAAGTTGATCGCCGTTGCATGGGTTGTTGAGTTGACGTATTTACACGTAGACTTAACTGATTAGAGTGTAATGTGAAGTGCTAGTTTTGTACCTCATATGAACCATGTGAGCGTTAGCCCTACTAATGGAAATGGGCCCACATCAGGACAGAGAAAAACTCTGACCAGGGTGGGAATTGAATAATAATAATAATAATAATAATAATAATAATAATAATAACAATAATTTATATAGCGCTATTCAGATACTCTTTCATAGCGCTTTACAATGATCAGATTAACAGAGAACTTAAAAACTAAAAAAATATAATAAAATACCGAGATAAATAGTTACAGAGCTTATATATACATTATACAAAAAATGAAAGTTAAAAAAAAAAAAGAAAAGAATTAAAAACCATAGGCTTCTTTAAAAAGATAAGTCTTCAAATGTCTCTTAAAGATAGCGATTGATGGAGATTTACGGATGCTAAGAGGCAAATTATTCCATTGCCTTGGCGGAGCAATGCTGAACGCCCGATCTGCATACGTCTTTAGTTTAGCCATTGGCACAGTGAGCAATTCTTGCCCACTAGAGCGTAAAGACCGAGAGCACTTACGATGGCTCAGGAGACTAGAAATGTAAGAAGGTGCTTTGCCATTGAGTGCTTTATAGACCAATAACAGGAGCTTAAAAATAATACGTGAATGAACGGGGAGCCAGTGTAGCTTGAACATTTTTGGGGTAATCGAATCGTACTTCCTTGTTAACGTGACAATGCGAGCCGCCGTATTCTGAACACGCTGTAATCTACAAACTAAGTATTTTGGAATACCATATAAAAGTGAGTTGCAATAGTCAAGCTTAGAACTAGTGAAAGCATGGATGCGAATTTGAGCAGAGTCCTGGGTGAGATATTTGCGGATCTTTGATATATTCCTGAGATGGTAATTTGCCTCACTACATATCTTTTTTACATGTTGTTCCATGCAAAAGCAATTGTCCATAATGACTCCTAAGTTACTATGACGCGCCATAGGGGACAAATAAGAAAACAGTTTAAAGACTGTTAAGCTTATTCAAAGCTATTACCAAGGGAGGAACTACGCGCTCCAGTCAAAAGACTCACACTATCTTTAGAAAAACACTAAGCTGGAGTTTACTGAGTCACAATTCAGTTATCCATAGTAAGTTGATGTAGCTTCAGTTTAAGCTGCACTTCATTTTTATAATTTGGGATCTGCAAATCACTATTCGTGATAATATAACATTCTGTAGAGAAAACTAACGAGCTGGGCCCAGCGTGATACAGCGTTGCAGAAAAACATTACACTCACGACTAACGAAAATCGCTTAGTTATTCAGATCCAGAAGGCACATTTGAGAAAATTGGAAACCTTATTCAGCCGTAAGAAAAAAAGCTTTACGCTTCAAAAGAGGTCAAGGAAAATGCGCTTATATCAGAGGGCAAATCCTGCCGACCAGAAATAATAACTACAGTAAATCGATATGTTTGTCATGACCTTGTGAAACATTCGGGTAAAATCACATTTGCTCGGTGAAAATGTAGAACCTTCCAGAGCATAATCTACCCAGCAGAGAGAAAAAACTTTATTGGAATAAGCAACATTTTGGCATGAGGTAAAAGTCGTGTAGGCCTACCACCCCCTTTTACTGCTAGCAACGACGCACACACTCTCAGTAAGCCTACAAAGTCCTCCCCTCTTCTTGCAAACAATCCACACATATTGATGTTGTCAGTTAAATGATGGCGTTCCATTTCACACAGCAAAGATGGGAGAGTGAAAATAGCCCTTTCCAGTTCCGTCTCAGCCGCCATTTTCTTTTTCTGTAAGTCGCGCAAAGAATGTTGGGATTTGATGAAACCAATCGATCGTGACGATTAATTGAAATCGTTAACAAGTAGGAAGAAAATGTGGAAGAAGTTTTATATTTCATAGAGTAAGTTGTACTCAAACAATGCTAAGTCGTGTATTTCGTAGGTGAGTTATAAAAACTGCCGTAAGTCAAACATGTAAACAACACGTCGTAATTAAATTGCAAAACAACCTTGATGTCTACAAGTTAAAGTTGTGTGAATAGATCGATAACTGGTTTGTGTGACAAACAAGTTGTACATATTTTGTCAGAAGTAAAGTAAATGAAGCTGAAAGTCGTAGACCTAACAGCAAAGTTGTAAATGTATTGTAGGAAGTTATCTTCGACAAGGATAAGTTGTATAAATTCACACAAGTTGTACACAAATTCACACAAGTATTTTTGTCCCCTATGGCGCGTCATAAGTTACGTACATACAAATTAGGAGCAATGAACTCATCACCGACCCGAACATATTCAAGAGTTGGTCTATTTCGAAATTTGGAGCTAATAACAACAAGTTAAGTTTTATCTTGGTTAAGTTTCAATAGGTTTTTGCACATCCAGTGGTCGATTTCTTCAACACAGCACTCAATACGCAACTTTGCCTCATCAAGATCAGCACAACAATTGGAAATATATGGTTGCTTGTCATCAGCGTACAGATGGTATAATAAGTCATGCTTTTTGACGATATCAGCAATCGGCGCAGTGTAGACAAGGTACAGCAGTGGGCCCAGTACAGACCCCTGAGGCACCCCACGCAGCAACGGTCGCCTTGATGAACCCACGACCTTCGGGTTAGATCACCGCTGCTCTACCGACTGAGCTACAAGGTCAGATGGGAGCCGGCCGTGGGAACTGAGGATGTTACGGCAATGAACATGTACAAGTATAAGGAAGAGTTACACTTCGCATTACACTCTAATCAGTTAAGTCTGTTGAAATATAAGTGCTACACGGCCAACGTTTGTAAAAACGTAACCCTTCCTTGTATTTACACGTAGGTTGTCAAATGTGAAAGTTTGTTGGGTGGCCACGGTAAGGCTTGTTGCACTGTAAAAGACTCGACACTATTTCTGCCGAGCCTCTTCTTGTTCGCTCTTTGGCGAATTTTAGGGAGGCCCTGCTGGCAGGGTGGGTGTCTTGTGGAGTACAACGAAATGATGTCTTCTGCCCTCCCTTAATTTTCAAGTATTTCTCTCAAATTAGGCAGAAAGAAAGAATGTTTCATTTTTCCAGCGTTCAGATTTATCAAGTTACTAGAAAGTCGGTTGATTATCCCACTTAAGTAAATTAAAGACACTTTTTTGTTTCTTTTTTCGAGTTTGTTTCTTGCGATAAATCAAGCCGTGTTGTTGCTGCAGTAACACTGGATCGGATCGGCTGTACCCTCGAATTCTGTAGTGTCTGTCATCCATTATGTTGGCCTTCTTGGAAGTTACAGAATACTTTGGCAGAGAAAATAGCTTACATTTATTGTAAAGTTTCGATATAACGCGCACTCTGAATGGTTAAAACAGCGTGCTTTATGAGAGTACAGCCGTGATGAACGACCGACGCCACTCACATGATTTGGACAATAAAGTTTAGCGAAAATATTTTAGCCCAATACGTGATGAAATTAATCAATTCTTTATCATAAAACAAATAAAGAAGCATCGCCTGTAATCTGTTCTGTTGTAAAGCACGCAGGAAGCGGACAGAGCACTCAAGAAGTAGGGAAAACACATACATAAACTTTATTAATGTGTCTTGGAATGTCTAGCCGATGGGGTTAAGAACCCCTCTGCTAATTGGGGACACCTAACAATATAATATAGTTACCTAACAATATAATATAGTTAAAATCCTACTAACTATCTACTAATGAAACAATTGATTTAAAAAGATTAAGAATTACAAAGGATTAAGAATTACAAAGGATGCAATTATAGTTACCTAACAATATAATATAGTTAAAAAACCTACTAACTATCAACTAATGAAATAATTGATTTATAAAGATTAAGAATTACAAAGGATGCAATTGGAGCAATTGTCGTCGTCTATCATTACACCTAGATCAAATTTACGAATACAATTTTTGAAACTAAATAATGATGGGAGAGTTCTGATTTCGCTTGGCAGCTTATTCCACAACTTTGGTCCCAGGTAGGTGAGCGAGTGTTTACCATATTTATTGGTCCTAAATCTGGGAATGGCGAACTCTGCCGTCCTCAAGTTGTAGGGTGAGCAATGCGCGTGAAATAGCTCGGATATTTTGATGGGGCATAGTTTGTGTTTCACCTTATACATAAGGATAGCAATATCTTGCAGTCTTCTGTTCTGAAGAGTCGTTAGGTCACTTTTGTCCAGCAATGCTTGGTAGCTTGATTGCTTATCTAGGAAAACTGCGCGTAGTGCTCTTTCTTGGACCCGTTCAAGCTTTCTTTTGTCGGTAGCACTACAGAAATGCCAAGTCAGGTGGCAATAGGTTAAGTAAGGCAATATGGCTGATTTATACAGAGTTAATTTAGCATTGGTAGGGACAAGTTTTTTAAGCCTTAACATTACACCTACTCTTTGACTCGCCTTCTTACATATTTCATTAATGTGAGTGTTAAAATTCAACTGTTCATCTATGGTGACCCCTAGCAACTTAAGACAGTCAGAAGATTCGATGGTGTTTCCTTGAAAGTGTAATGGAGTGTTACTTTCTGTCTTGTTATGCTTTAAAGTCATAGTTTGATATTTGCTCAGGTTTCCTTGTAGCAGATTGCTAGCGTACCATTCGGAGGCCCTATTGGCATTCCTCATAAGATTGGTGTCAGCCATTTTCAGGTTCCCCGCTGTTTCAAACATTTGATGGTCATCCGCGTATATAGAGAGATGCGAAGTTATTACGTATGTCAGATCGTTTTGAAAGATGTTCCATAACAATGGGCCAAGGGCCGATCCTTGTGGACAACCCCTATCTGTACGCTTCCATTCACTTCTGAAAGCTCCCAGTTTCACTCGGTTCAATCGATTACACAGGTAAGATCGAAGTAGATCACATAGTTCGTCATTAAAACCATACGCTTTTAATTTGCTGATCATTAAGGACGGATGAAGCGAATCAAAAGCCTTACTCAAGTCGGTAGATAAGATTTTAACAATTTGCTGGTTATCACGTGCTGATTTCCACGCTTCAATAAGACTTATCAATGTTGTTTCACAACTGTGGCGTTTACGATATGCCGTAATTCGGGGATCCAGACGGCTGTCGAATTGCTTAGAAATCTGGTCGCTAAGTAGCTGCTCGATCACCTTACTAACCACTGGAAGGACAGTTGTTGGTCGATAGTTCCGACAATCTTGTGGATCCTCGCCACTGCGTCTCGTGTTTCCCCTACACTCGGTGCTCTATTCTCTTCCTGCGTGCTTTACACAGAACAGATCACAGGCGAGGCTTCTTTATTGCGTCGACGTAGGAGACGCTTCCTAAGTGAGTGGTTGGGAGTTCTGTTTGTGTTCATGTTCCAAGCGTGAGAACTCGAGAAAAGAGGTCGTCAGTCGGTTCCAAATCTTCGCGTCTCAATAGCATCCAGCATGCCGAGCGGTTGTTTTTCGCCATTTTGAAACGTCACAATAACATATGCCGACTAATCATTCGGGGACAAATCGCAACCTCGTTTCCAGGGTCTCTCTTCTCTGCCTCCCTTTCTCAACGATAAGGGAAACCCTGGAAACGAGGTTGGAAAAATCGGAGGCATTTCTGATTGACACGAAACTTGGTCAGGAACGAGATATGACAATTAGCCAATCACTGGCCAGTTTTTATCGGCATCGGTTGAAATGACATCATTCTCTGATTTGCCGAAGATCACCGTCGAGCGAGACCGAAATGGCGTCCATGCTGGAGGGTGAAAAACAGGGAATTATATAGAGAGCTTCTTTAGAGCCAAGCGAAGACATCTGGATGGCTTATATGGCAATTGTGAAGGGTATCCACGTCAAATAATAAACAACTATTGGATGAGGTTGAGCATGGTAGCGATAATTATCAAGGCCAAAGTTTGTGATACCTGCCAAAGCCAAAGGCTGAGGCGGATAACACAAACTGAGGCCTTGATAATCATCGCTATCATGCGAAAACTGAATCCAGTAATTGTTTTATCATGCAATTTTCCTGAGCTGAGCTCCGCCATGACAAAACCCCAGAGACAAAACTGATCAAACTGCTGGTTAGTGTGTTAGGTGACGTCACTTCTGCATGCATAAAACTATTGTCTGTAGGTATGACGTAAGAGAAACAAAGCAAGCATGAATTATCTGCGTTCTTATAGCCAATCAAAATCGAGCTGGTGACACCAATGTCTCATATAAATAAAGGTTAGCGTCTCAGTTGTTGTGTGATCATATTAGTATTCTACGTGGCGTGATCAAACCTTCGGTCGGAGACGTGTTTTCCACTCTCAAAATTACCCCCAGAACCTACTTTTTGCGTGGAATAAGCTTCTAGAATGAAGTTCTTGTTTTCTGAGAGGATACTTTGCAATTCGGAGGAATTTTGTGAAAAGAATCTGTTTGACATCTATCATTGCGTAACTGCCCAAATGCCCAAACTTGCCCGTAATCTGTTTACCTTTCGTCACGTTGCTAAAACAAAACCTTAAAATATTCGCGGATCGGTCGCTCTTTCTAAAATTTGAACGGATAATTGCTAACGAATAGAGAAAGAATCAGAAGTTTCATTTCAATGAAAACACCACAGGATTTCGTCCACAAGTAATTATTTAGAGTGAGAAATCAACTCCCCATACCCCACAAGTTCATCAGTAATGTTAGTTACTGTCACGTGTTACCCTCATAAAATAAAGTCTCTAAAGTCTCTCTACAGTTCCTATGGCCCCCGGGGGGAGCCACTTGGGTATTTTTTGGGTGGGTATGTGCCGCCCGGGACTCCAAATTGGCACCCCGTTCTAAAACAAAAATTCCTCTAAAATTGATACCCTGTTCTAGAAATGGCCAATTTTTTATACCCCGTTCTAGAAATTCGCCCTAAAACTGATACCCCGTTCTAGAAATGGGCCAATTTTTTATACTCCGTTCTAGAAAGTTTGTCAATTGAAATAGCCCTGTTTTTTAAAAAGATATTTCTTTATTTGTTCGACTTGTACATAAAATAAATGCTTCTTCATAATCAGCAACAATTTTAAGCAGAAGATAAAGCCGTGATCCACAATTTTTTATACCCCGTTCTAGAAAACGCCTCTGAAATGGATACCAAAATCACGACCCTGTTGCGCGGCACATACCCGTATAGGTAATGTATGGGAGGCCCGGAGGCGACGCACTATAATCTACGATTTATGCTAGTTTGTTCATTAAAAGCAAATTTTTAGACTCCAGCTGCAATCCGTTTAATAATAATAGTCTTTATTCAATCAAAGGATAAAAATACATATTCTAAGTTACCGTGAAAATGTATTAAAAGATACACGATAAAATACAATAGTAATATAAGATAGAATAATACTATGCTAAATTATATTTAAAAACAAGTCTATTTACAAAAGTTTTCTTGTATCTCTCCGTTTTTATCTGAGGAAGGTGACACCTCCTACGCAAATTATATACTAATTCTTTTTCTTCGGCAATGAAAGGCTGAATAAGTCATCCAAGCGCTTGAAGTTTCTGTTATAGCAGTTGTGATACAGCTTTTTGCATTAGTCCAATATTGTTTTCGGCCTCTGTTTCTTTCCACGAAATCTGTGTTCTTAATTTACTGAAAACTTTGTTTTGAGTAGGGTTTCGACATTGTAGGGTGCTTTCAGAAAATTCGCAAAATTCCACTGCACAATTTCAGTTTGGTAATTCATCAATTTTGAATGAAACGTTGGTTGTACTAGTAAGTTAAAATGAAAATTGCTCAGACATGTCTAGGAATCAAAGGCTAACCTAGTCATCTTAATTTTCCGGGAAAAGTTTTGTTTTCTTGAACTTCATTGTAAATCAATCCACGAACTGGAATATCGATACCACCATTTGAAAATTCATAAGTTGCATTAGGGGCAATTTCATCGAAACAATTCAATCTCCGTGGTTGGAATCAGCTTGACAATCGGTGACAATTTTCAAGTTTCCTCAAAGTTTGGCACACACTAAGTCAGGTTGGATACATGACTTAATATTTCCGTGAAAGATCGGCGGCCGTTCTTAATAATTTCGAGTAAAGACAGTTGTTTACCTACCAGTTAGCAATCCTATTCGTTTTAAAGACTTAAATTCACATATGACAGCAACTTTAGCTTACTTATTACATACCTGTAGCAATGCAGAACCAAAACACGACCAGCTTGTAATAGCGTTTTATTCTCTTTGCCATCTGGCTTCAGCTTCGTTTGTATGTATAGCTTTAAACACAATTACAATAAATAACCAGTATTTTAAGAGTGAGTCACAAGACTAAAATAAACAGGATATAGGTGATGACCCCGCAATTGATATTTTCACCCAAAAATTCGATCTTTCCGAGAACCGTAGTGTAAATTGATTTCGAGAATATTCTGATTTTTAAAAAAATCCTCCCCTCCTGCTTTCTATTGCCCTTCTGGCTGATTTCCTTTTCTAGAAAGGACATAAAACAGACGTCTTCCGGTTTTAGCCCGAAATCACAACCCGTTGAGGGATCTCGCCTAAATGTTCAGAAGTGCTTTGTTTATGAAATGTCTTTGAAGGCCGGGACACACTAGGCGACAAGTCGCAGCGACAGGTCTCAGCGACAAGTTGCTCCGTGTGTACTACTTGCAAAACAAGTCGCTGCGACACGACGTCTGTTCGGTGCACACGCAGTAATCTCGTTAGCCTGCGTAGCAAGCGTTTCCGTTTAGTTTCGGAGCAAAGAAAAACCTAGGAAGGGGACTTTCGGTTTTGGCCGCGCGAGAAATGAAACGAGACCCGCTCTTTTACTTGCGCCACTTTTCTCGCGGTCTTCAGCCTGCGTAGCAGGCGTCGAAAGGGGTAGGTGCTTTTCTCCCCCTCCCCTCCCCTTTTTGCGCCTGCCATGCAGGCTACGCGGTCCTTGACTCTCGTTCTTTTCTGCTAAAGCGCACAGAAACGCTTGCTACGCAGGCTATAATCTCGTGTGAAGAGGAATGTGAACTAGCTTTCTAATTCAACATGGCTGACCATATGATGTTCTCTCATTGTTTCATTTATATTTTGTCGCAGCGACTTGTTGCCGGAAGTGTACACACGGTGCGACAACGCTGCTTTCGCTAATTTTGTCGCCGCGATTAGTGCGACTGATCGCGGCGACAAAATTTTGCCGCAGCGACAATGATTTTCATAAAATTAACCGTGTCACACAAGGCGAATTGTTGCGGCGACTTGTCGCAGCGACTAGTCGGCTAGTGTGTCCCGGCTACCCCGGCCTTTACAGATCTCAAGCCTCACGGCTCACGGTTGTTTTTTTGATAATCTCATGACGAGATAGATCGATAGTTATAAATAACTTAACAGCGCGAAAAACATGAGCAATATGAACTTTAAAAAAAATATTATAACACGCATATAAAGATATCGTGTTTCAAGAGAAAGGAAATAAAAGTATTTCTTAATATAGTTGCAACAATGATGGATGATAAACATGGCCCTAAACATTTTTGCTTTGTTGGGTGGAAGTTAAAGTGTTAAAAGTGTTCTGCTAGTGGGCAGTGGAATTTTCAGAGTTTATTTAAGACGTTGTTTCTAGACCTTTCTCAGCTTTTATAGTATCTTGCTCATGGCCAATAGCACTGTGGTGGTATTGTGTTCTTTCCTATAAGCGGTTAGGGTGTCTTTAAGAACGCCCCCCGAAGAATATGTTGGAAAGTCAGCTTTCTGACGTATACGAATAGGCCTTTCCAGATTCTGCTCCGAAAAAGCTAAAAAGTTGCTGAGAAATATACCAAAAAGTTGCTCAAAAGTTGCTCAAAAATTTTGTAAAGTTGCTCGAGTATTTTTAAGACAGCATGTCTAATTTTAGTAACAATTGCTTTGTAACCAACATTAAGGTACAACTAAGTAACTAGTTACAACAAATTAGGCAACCTTTAGTTGAATCTAAGTGGCTAGTTACAGAAAGTTAGACAGTAAGTTTAACAATCTGGTTTACAAATCTAGCTAACTGTTGTTTTCGCGCGATAACAATTAACAATGTAATCACAGATTCACAGTCTGGATCTACCAGAAACGAAAAGCTGCTTCGTCTTCGGAAGACAACGTGTCGTCCGCCATTTTGTTTACACACAGTCCACAGATTCCGTTCCCGGGGCTTTTCCCTTCTCGTGGGGGGCGCCCCTCACGAGAAGGGAAGCCCTGGGAACGAGGTTGAGGCTACCCAAATTCACCCAAATTAATTACCACCTCCACATGATACCCTTTCAAAGGGTAAAAATATGAGTTTTACTAGAAAGATGTTAAGAATTTTAACCAAGAGAATTTTAGCTTGTTGATTTAAGAAAAGGGGTTATTCAGCATTTTGCCCAAAATAGCCCAAAAGTTATCAAAAAAAGTGCTAGTTTTCCGAAAAGAAGTTGCTAGAAGATGCTCTTTGACAAAAAAGTTGCTCAAAATCCTAAAAGTTGCCAAAAAGTTGCCGAGCAGAATCTGGAAAGGCCTAGTTACGAAGTTCGCGACGTCGAACGCGTAGCTGGTCAATCACGCGAATGTCAGGGACGCCAACTTCTTTTCCGTAAAGGCTAAAAACCATGCCGGAAGGAAACCTCTGCTAGCTGGGTAAGTGTACGAACAACAGGGGACCTGTTGAGGCCCGTCTAATTTTTTTTGGATCTGCCCAGACTCTAGTAGCCTCCCACGAGCTCTCCTAAAAACGCCTGCGTGGGAGGCTAAGACTCTAGCCTTCCTGACGTCCTTAGGGGTTCGTTAGAAATGAATGCGTGACGAACGAACCCTTAACGACTGCGGAGAGTCTTCCCAGACTCAATTCACGGCACGAAAAATTGGATTTACACAAATTTACTCAGTGTAAATATGGTGCAAAAAGGTGTAAACTAGGGGGGAATTAAAAGCAAAGATGGTAAACACCGCATTTGCTTGCCACTTTACATGGGGGTGTAAATTTTAGGGCAAATGCGGTATTTACCATCTTTGCCTTTTATTTAACATCAGTTTGCACTTTTTTGCACCAAATTTGCATTGAGTAAATTTGGTGTAAATCCAATTTTTCGTGCAGTGATTTTAAAATCTTACCAGAGTTCGTTCTGTTTTTAAAGAATGTTGTCAAAATATATACTTTCTCTAGTGACTCTCATGTGTTCTTAGTATGTTCTTTAAATGTGGAGCCCCAAAATGCTGACAAAAAAGGGTCTTTACAAAACAACAGGGGCACCCAACGACAATTTTCGGAAAAATATCTGTTCGGAAGACGATTTGAGATCTAGAATTTTCGGAACATTTGTTGTAAAATTTCTTGTTTGCCTGCTTCTCCTAGGATTTTCGAACATCTAAAAAATGGTAAAATTGCCCATTTTCAACGGATTTTTACCCTAAAAAGGTCACCTAGAATTTTCGGGAGCCTTTTTTCTGGCTGAAATTTTCGAACAGGTAAGTTTTGATCCCTATAATTTTCGGATCACTAGACTTTCAGCTAGGAAATCCGAACAGATGAAAAGTTTATAGGGGATAAAAATATGCCCATATCCACCGTTTAAATACTAAAACACGTTTAACAATGCTATATTTAAGTTAAATGTTTAAGTGGTTTTGAACTATATTCTCGTTGGGTGCCCCTGAAACAAGAGGCTCCAAGAGTCGGTATATTTATTCCGTGTGGTGTATTCGATTTTGGTAGTGCAGTGTGTTATTTCTTCAAATTGGTCATTGGGCTGTGCTTAGGTGGAGATACCAGGAACCCACATATTTTATCATAGTTGCTGTAAAAGTCTTATTACCTCACTGAAAGGGTCCAGTATTTTTAAAAAGTTTGTTTTACGACAAAAAAATGAGGGAGATGTTTGACCTCTTCCCAAGTGGTTGCTATGGAGACACAGTAATGACTGGCATATTTGAACTACGCGCGCTCTGTAACCTCCGTCAAAAAGGGAAAGACGGGACAGGTTTTACCGGGAGAGGCTTGAAAACCTGGCTGACAGGAAGAGGAAACTTTGCCATGGAGCTTTGGCAAATTAAATGTGTTTTTTGACAGACAATGATTCATCTGCTGTTCCACGATTTCATCTAATGCAAAAGAAATGGGTTGCGGCTCAAGTAACACGGCGTCAGCCACCGAACAGAATCGCCGTGCACATGTGGATCCTTCGCCTGCTGACAACAACTACACGTCGAAGGTCCCAAGCAAGAAAATATCAGAGGAACAACCACATAGTGCCTCTCAAGAATCTGAAGAAGCGGTTGTCGATAAAAGAACAGCTAGTGTGCAGAAGAACAGCTGTGTTAGTGGGACGGAAAGGACTACAGGGTCGAAATCGCGACAGCTGACCATTTTGCATTTCAATGATGTTTATAACATTGAGCCCCGGGATAAAGAGCCTGTTGGAGGAGCGGCTAGATTTGCTACTAAGGTGGCGAGCCTAAGATATCTCAATCCCTTGATTGTATTCAGCGGGGACTGTTTGAACCCTTCAACAAGTGAGTATCGTTTGTTGACAAATTTTCATGCGTAGCTGTACAAATTATAAGTCAATAAAGTCTTACATAATACATTACATGAGAAGTAAATTGGTCGAAGTGGATGAGAAAATGCACATTTGCTTTGCAATATTGTAAAGCTTAACCTTTGCTTTTAGTGCTTATGAAAATGAAATAATTCCGCCTTTTACTTTCTCCAACTCACAAATGGCGGTCATTTCTCCCTGGGTATGTGTGTGCCGGCCATAAAAGGGGAAGTGATTCCAGGACTCCCTGTTTGGAGCTATCCATTTTCCACAGTTTCGTAGAACAGGGTATAACATCTTAGGTGCTGTTCAGGTGCTAGCCTCCCCCGCAGACATGACGCACGCCTAAGAATGTCTGCGGCGGAGGCTATTCAGGTGCCGGAATTTTCATGAACTGACCAAAATTATTTAGACTGGCTGAACTGATTTAGAAGCTGATGTTAATTAATTAACAATTAATGAATGAGGCTGAGTATCTTATGAAGAATTATGGAGATCGAGGAGGGTGTTATCACACCCTGCGAGATCTACATAATTCTTCATATGATATGAAAGCTGAATTCAATAATTGTTTTATTATTCATTCAAAATAATTCCTAGTTTAAAAACATGGCTAACACATGCTTACCTCCATTGATGTTAAGTTCATCTTCGATAGTGCCCGTTTAGGGTTGTTTAGCTCCGCAAATATTCTCCAAATAGCACATAT